TGCCTTCCATGTACATATATGTGTGTGTATATGATTACATATATACATGGGTATATGTTTAAGTATGTAAGCACATACTTATAACACATTTATTCATTCAATAAATATGTATTAAGTGCTCCTATACATACATACATATATATACATACATACATACATACATACACATAGGATCATAGATCATAAGGCTAAAAGGGACTACAGAGCCCCAACTCATTTTACAAATGAAGAAATTGAGTCCCAGGAGGTTAAGTAACCTTCTCAAGATCATGCAGCTAGCAATTGGCAGAGCTGAGATTTGAACTCATGTCTTCTAACTCCACATCCATCATTCTTTCCGTTGTCCTATGCTGCTTCCCAACACCAACACTATCACCACTGGACTGTGGAGACATATATCCATGTACATCAGAACTCACTTTTACATAGCACTTCCAGACTTACAGACCACTCCACTCACAACCACCCTGTGAGGTATAAATATTTGTTGTTTAGTAGTGTCTGACTCTTCATGACCCCACTGATCATAGCGTGCCAGTACTGTCCATGGGGTTTTCTGGGCAAAGTTTCTGGAGTGGTTTTGCCATTTCCTTCTCCAGTGAATTAAGGCAAACAGAAGTTAAGTGGCTTGCCCAGAGTCACACAGTTAGTAAGTGTCTGAGACTGGATTTGAACTCAGGTCTTCTTGACTCCAGGCCCAGCACACTATCCACTGAACTTAGTATGAGTATTACAAGTATTATTATCCCCATTTCACAGATGAAGAAATTGAGAGTTAAAGAATCTGACTTAACAGGGATCACAACTAGTAAGCATCAGAACCTGGACTTGCTTTTTCTGTTTTATCATGCCATTTCTGTTTTTACCCATATAATTTAATCTGTGTTCTTATTTCACTATCCTGAATGTTGAACTTCTGAGTCCTGTTGGCCCCATTTGGGAAAACTCTTTTCTAAAATGAAGTGGATCACAAGCAGATTTTGCCTGGAGGGCCTTTTTTTAATGTCCCAATAGCTGGGACATTAGCCATGAATCATTCATCTTTCTGTTCCGAGCATTGTTGGCTCTCAAGTGTTGAGCGGTAATAATCAGCTCTTTGTGAAAGGCTATAGTCAGTGCCCTAGATTTCATTTCTATTACAGTAGCATTAGATTAGATATCTGAGCAGTGCCACCAATGCTCGTCCCATAAGGATTAAATATGTAGAATCTCATTAAGAATTTCTGTCATGCTGGAAAGTAGATTAGAGTCTCTGACATTTGTATTACTTGCAGTGGAATAATCCAAGGAAATGGGTCCCACTTGTTTGAGCTATGAGCTCCTCCAAGTCATTGAAACCTGTAGCATCCCATTCACTTACAACAGCTTATGAACCTGGGAAGAAATATCTCCCCACATGAGAAAGACACAGAGTTGAAACTGTGTAAGGTCCATCGTATAATTGTTCTCCCAGTACCTCGGAGACATCAGGTTTTTGGAAAGCAGCTCTGACAATGTGTCAGGAGACAAACTGAACTGGTCCATTTCTCAGATGAGATGTGTTTCGATTTAATTCAATTGTCAATCCCAAAGTACCTATTCACTGTAACTATTCCTTGGTACCATAGCAAATCAATTTTGTAGCAACCTTAGTGACATCTCCATACTTATCTTAGATCATAATTAATTAGTCTCTAGTTTTAATGACATTAGGATCTAATATCTAAAAATGGAAAGGACTTCAAGGGCCATCTAGTCTAACCCCTCACTTGATGAGGATGAGGAAGCTGAAACCTAAAGAGTAGCACTCAAATCTGAATTTCACTTTAGTTGGGGTTTGTTTTCTTTTCATCTGGATCTTATGACTATACTGCTCTAGGGAACTATGGTGTAAATTTCCTCGCTGGGTGCAGATCTACAACTTGTATATAACAACTGAAAGTCAGAGACAGTTGCCTGGAATACTGAGTACCTTGCTTATGGTCAAACAGCTATTTTGAGTCAGAGATAGGACTTAAACTCCCCAGACAGGTCTTCCTGATTTCTAATGCAACCCTCTAGTCACTATGATTCTTTCTAGATCACTCTACTCTATAGTTGAAACCTCAAGATTACTAGAAGATAGACAGATAGATAATGATTTGTTGGATATTTGGTGGAATGGAAAGAGAAAACACCTGATAAAAGGTGGGTGTAATCAGAAAATTGTATTCCCTGATATAGGCAGTGATATTGTAAGCTAATAACTCCCCTACAGAGAGGCTGATTTGGGGGAAGATGCTTCAACTATTCTGGAAGAAAGCAAAACCAGTGTGGGTGGCAGTGTGCTTTAGTGGAAAGAGCATTGGTTTTGGAGACAGAAGAAGACCTGGTTTACAATACTGGCTCAGCTGTGGTATGATCCTGACAAGTCATTTAACTGTCTTAGCCAGTTTCCTTATTTATAAAATGAGGTGTAAGGAGCAGCTAGGGATAGCAGTAGATAGAGCTCTAGCCTTGGAGTCAGGAGGACCTGAGTTCAAATGCCGCCTCAGACCAGATACTTGACACTTACTAGCTGTATGACCCTGGGCAAGTCGCTTAACCTCCGTTGCCTCACAAAAATAAAAAATAAATAAATAAATAAAAATAAAATGAAGTATAAATTGGATGATTACTAAGGTCCTTCTGAATCTAAATCCTAAAAGCTATAACCCTAAGCTCCCTCCAGGCTGTTGCATCCATCTACTGCTAGAGACAGGGAAGGCAGAGATGGGGAGGGTACTGGGCAATGTTGTGAAAAGGGAATTCCAAGTATTGCCCAAAGGTCAACCTAGCTAACTTTTGAGGAGGCTCATCACCAGAAAGTTTGCCACTAAGTGTTTCATTTGTTCAGCTATAGTAACTCACAAAAATCAGTTCCTATGGCACCATGGGGTTTTGGGGCTACCTCAGTGGAGGGAGTAAAATCAAGTAATTTTACCATTCTTTTGAGGGCTTATCAAGAGGATGCCTCCCCAAAAGAGAGCTGAAGGTCAGAGATGATAACCTCATGCTATCCTGGAGATCCTTTCTGGGCAAAAAATATTTGCTTTGGTATTCAGGAGTGATTGTGTACCCAGACGTGGTTGACTCCTTAAGTATCCTGCTCTAGTGCTGATAGAATCAGCTGCCCAGATGGGAAGCTTGTAGCATAGGTTTCAAATTCAAAAAAGCAGATAAATCAGTTACTTAAGGCCTGACCCTGTAGGCTCAGCATGCTTCTTGTAGCCAGATGCTGAGTGCTTGCTGCAAGAGGGAGGCATATATGTAAGAGAAACAAAAGGTGATCTTACCTTCAGCCTTCTTTTTTGTTTCACGAGCTGCTTAGCTGGCTCAGTTGGGTTAAAATTCCTGAGTTTTTGCCAACCAACAAGCCTGGACCTGCACCATAAATCAATAGTTTTCTTATGCTTTCTTATACATCTCTTTCCATTACCTCCTCCCCTACCCCCAGTGTCTTCCTGTGCTTTTTTTTTTTTTAACCTCTGTTCCCACAGAGGCAAACCTGGGGACTTAGAGGGTTTCTGAGCACTTCTTCGATGTATAGTAATTGACTTCCTCTTGTTAAAGAAGCTGTTGAGAAATTATGTAGTTGATGACCTATGTGAAGGCCTGTGTGGATGCACACTGATGTCATCTTTCCTGGTGGGAATGGGGTGCAAACATCCTTTTTGTCAGAAGTATCTCTTCTGGATTAATGAATTGATTTGTTTCCCTCTGCTTGTTACCACTGTATCACAGAGAACATTTTATCCTAAGTGCACAGAACATCTCTGCCTTCCCTCTGGATTAAAGATCCTCTGTCTCAACAGCAGTTTGCCTAAAAATGATCTGGGGTATTGAGTGGACTACAAGCTCAGTATGAGTCAGTAGTGTGACCTGGTAGCCATGAATGCCCCCTGCGGTCTAAATTAAGAGGAGCGGATGGTTCAAGACTAGGGAAATGATCTTCCCTGTATACCCTGCCCTGACCAGCCTGAAGAGGTCTAAAGGTTTGGGGTGCTCGAACCCCAAGATCGTGACGTGGGCCCTGCCTGAATGAATTCAACTCAAATCTTCTTCCAGCCAGAGAAAAAGTTTATTAGAGATAAATCATATAGGCTATTAAGGAATCTGAACATTAGTGACTCCTGCCTGTAGGGAGGAGGGCATGAGAGAGTCTCAGCCTTTTGGGCATGAGAAAATCTCAGCATTTGAATGGGGGCCAGAATGGGTCTTATATACACTAAAGTAACTTTGGGTGGCCAGAGGAGGGGGCTGGGAAAAGGGTCTAGATGAGAATTCTGATTGGAAGGTCTGAGAGATTGAATAGACAATGGGAATAGATAATGAGAGGGACTGGAAGGAAGAAGTTTGAAAGGATCAGAAGGTGGGGCGAGGGCTTTCAAAGAGAGATAAGGGGAGTCGATAAGGAACCTAAAAGTTTTAAGGGTTTTCTGGGACCTGTAGACAAACGGGAGCCAGATTCTTTTTAGGGCTAGGGGCAAAGGAGCATCTGAATAAGATCACAAGGTAAGGCCAAGGCTTTCAAAAGGAAATAAAGGGAGTCTATAAGGAATCTAAAACTTTAAGGGTTTTGGGGGTCTGTAAACAAATGGGGGCCAAATTCCTTTTGGCAAAAAGGGGCAAAGGTCTCGGCTTCTGAAACTGAATGATACCCCATCAAGCCCACGTCTGTAGTTTTGTGTTTAGTGTTCGCTGCCACATTTTAGGAGGAATATTGATAAGCTGGAGCATATCCAGAGGAGAGCAACCAGGATGGGAGAAGGATTCGATTTGTTCTGTTTAGTCCCAGATGGCAGAACAATGGATAGAGGTTCTAAAAGGGCACATATAGGCTTAATGTAAGAAAAAACTTCCTAACAATTAGAGCTATCCGGATGTGAAATAGGTTATTTTAGGAGATAATGGGTTCCCCCTCACTGGAAGACTGCCAACAAAAGTGTGTTTTGCATATCCATTGCATCAAAACTGATTTGTGGACTGGTCTGTACTTTTAGGCTGTACCTGGGAATTTGGAGCCATGGTGAGCTACATCAAGAAGACTTATCCCCAGACCCAACTGGTTGTAGTGGGCTTTAGTCTGGGTGGAAACATCGTGTGTAAATACCTGGGTGAAACCCAGGCAAATCAAGAAAGAGTCCTTTGCTGTGTCAGTGTATGTCAAGGATACAGTGCATTAAGGTATGTATACTCTTGTGTTTTTCTGTCATTATTTCTTCCAGGGAAAATCAATCCAAGATTAGGCAGAAAATTCTGGGTCTTTGATAAACCATGTTTTGCTACTAGATTGGGTTCTTTAGCATATGTCCTTGTCTTCTTGCTGTCAGAACAAATAAATCAGTGCTGTTCATATTTCTGTATCTCTCGACCCATATTTGTGAAGGATAAAACAGCCAGAAGACTCCCTATGTCCTTAGAGAATCAAATATCATCCCCTAGAAATTTAGAGAATCCCAGTTTGTTTGTAAAAGAGCCCCATGTGGCTTAAGAACTAAGATATAAGTATCAGTGTCCTAAATTATCTGGCCTTTTCACTGTAGAACTAGGGAAGAGAAAAGATTAGCAGAAAAGCATACAGTCACTGCCATTCCAGATGTATCACAGCTGCCAGATTTAGACCATGATTGGCCTAGCCATGAGAAGGCATATTCTCCCTCACTTCAGCCTTAAGGATTAAGAATTTTTCAGCTTTTCTTTATTGACATTTTATGGTTCCAGCTTTCATAACCCTTGAATACCTTTCCATGTACATTTTAATCCATTTGTATGCCTATACTGCCTTTGGATTGATGAGTTCTGTAAACTCATTAACTCATTACAGTTGAGTCCTGTTTTTAAAGAGCTGCTGATAAAGGATTACCAAAAATCTCCTTTAGTAATCTGTTCCAGTGTTAAATGGCAGAAATTTATGATACCTTGAAGGACCAAGCAAGTTTGTAGTCATTTGATGGGCCTGGTCCTTCTAATATTAGCATATTAATCTAATGATTAGCAAATCTTTTGTTGCTTTACCTAAAACCCTTAGGCTTCAGTTTAAGCCTTATTTTATTGTCCGTCCTCCATGGAGATAGGTTTTTAAAAAACAACAGGAATTCCTGATGTGATCCTCATTGTTTTCCTGTACTGATAATCAGTATTGTCAGTAAGCGCTCTGAGGTCTTATTAGCCCAAAGTATAATCTCTTACTGTATAACCTAAATCTAGTCTTGGAGAATTCTCTAATAGTGAGAGGAATCTTAGACTCCCAGGATCAGTTTTCATGTGTGGTGCAACAGCAATGAGAGTAGTAGTGACAGAGAGATCAGTGTACTCCAAGGCCAGACCTTATACAGGGCAATCAACATCAGGATAGCTTCAGACTAATTCCTGAATACTTTTTAAAAGACCTGGGAACAGACCTCCATCCTAAGACTTTCTGAGCTCCAGTCCTGCAGCCTGGAAAGTGTTTATAAATTGAGAGAACTGGACTAAAACTTTTTGGTCCTTCATAAAATCAGAATTTTAGAGTTGAACAGGATCTTGGAGACCATCTAACCTAGTAGTCTCATTTTTATAGAAAACTAAAGCCCTAGAGATGTTTTGCTCATGGTCACACATCTAGGTAGTAGATGAGAACCAGCTATTAGACCAAGGTCTCCTGTCTCCTAGTCCATTGTTCTTTAGACTACCTCTCTCTCATTCTTCTGTTGGAATGCCCACCCCTTCCCTCTTCCACTCTTCCCTCTACCCCACCAAAAAACAAACAAACAAACAAAAACACAATTAAGCAAAACTATAAAATCAGCCAGAAAGTAATAATATTTTTTGCTCTTTGTTTTGCTGGAGAGGTTTCTAATCAAGATTATTTTCAGCTTATAAGTGATATACTAAGAATGTGGTAACAAAAGTATATTCTTTAAAGTTACAAAGTGTTTTATATGCTGAAAAGGCTATTCAAAATATTAGCTGTTACTATCCAGATACTGATTTCTCCTAGACTTTCTTTACAATATGATAATTTTTTTCTACAATAATCATCCCATGTCATCAAATAAAAGGAAAATTCTGCCTTCCTTGTTTAAGAATAATGTGTATAATAACATTTTGCCTAAATTTTCATCAAATATAGTTAAAGTAATAAGCCCTTATATAGAGTATAGGTACTTTATACTTCTCCAGAGATGCAAAGTGCTTCATGTATTTTACTTATTTTATTCATTCCCATGTCAACTTCATGAGATAAACAGACCACTACTCTTACCACTCCACTCAAACTGCCTTTCATGTGTGCAGTGCTTGCAAATACTTTTTCATTTGAGCCTCTCAGTAGCCATTTGACCTTTTAACTAGTAGTACAAGAATTATTATCCCCATTCACAAACGAAGACGCTGAGTCTTGGATCATTCTGATGTCTAGACTTGCCTTAACCTTTGACAGATGACCTGTTCCTCAGCATATGTCTGAGGCAGGATTTGGATTTGGGTCTTCCTGACTCAAGTCCAACACTCTGTCCATGGCATTATCTGATAGCCCCGAATCTGCCCTTTCTGCTAGGGCTTGAAAGTGGCCAACATTATTGTGACCTTTCATCCCTCCTCCCATCCTTTTTGCCAAAGTTGCGTGGGGAGGAGCAGCTAGGCAGCACAGTGGATAGAGTTCCAGCCTTACAGTCAGGAGGACCTAAGTCCCCGCCTCAAACACTTGATACTTACTAGCTTTGTGACCCTGGGCAAGTCACTTAACCCTATTGCCTCTTCAAAAAGCAAAAAAACAAAAACAAAAACAAAGTTGAGTAGAGAGGGCTCACATGCTTCTGAAATCAATATCACTGGATTTCTTATAGTAAATCACTCATAGTTGAATCTGGAGAACTATTTGAGTAGTGACTTCCATCATTTGTCGTCTAAGCCCATTAGTGTACCCTTCCTCTGGCAAAAGGAAATAGGAGGAGCAGAGAGAAACCAGCTGCCTTCTCTAATCAGCAGAAGCTAGTGGCTATTGAATGACTTCATGTTTTATTATGGGTTACACCAATGGAGAGACAGTGCAAATTACTAAAAACCACATGATGTATCTCACGCTCTTTGAGATAATTTCTCGGCATAAGCAGCTACTGCCTAAGCCAGGGGAATCTGTGTGGTCAAGCTAATCCTTGATTTAATTAGTTGTTTGAGCCTGTGTGTCTAAAGACATCTGAGTATAAGTTTCATCCATTTTGCAACTGGCAGGTCCCAAAGGTAAGTGAGAGAACTGGTCATGCAAATGCAATATACTCCATCTCATGCTAGTTCTTTACTTCTAAGAATCTGACCTACGAGCTGGAAGGTGGGAAAGCCCCACAGTCTCTTAAGCAGGCAAAACGAGTTTACAGAACATTTCAACAGTCCTGGCCATCTTTTCAGAGAAAACACCTAATAGTCTCTTTGTGACATTAGGCAGTAACTGTAAAATCACTATCAATATAAAACAACCTTTTCATTGAGCACCCTTTGTGTGCAGATTATACTGAAAGGGACAGTCTATGATTTGGACAGCCAACGGCCAATGAGTGCTGAGAGGATGAAGGGTACAGGAATGATCAGCCAGGTTGCAATTAATTAGGAGAGAATTCCTCCTGATCCTTCCTGTACAAGTACAGGTACAGGTACAGGTTAGTATTAAGAAGCATTAATGACTTGGCACAGGGCCTGGCTCTGCATTGCCTTGTGGGAACCCAAGACCCTTTTAAAGAATAGTACACGAATTCTCAAATGCACATTAAGAATCCCCATTAAGTGCAGTTATATTCTCTACTAAATGGGTTTGATAACACTACATCTGGGCCTTTGAATGGAGTTTAGATGAGTGGCAGTACTATGCAGTAGAAAAAACACAAGATTTGAAAGAGTCAGAAGGCCTGGATTTAAGGCCTGGAAAAAGGGCAGCCTGAATCTGCAGAATGTCTAAAAGAGAGGCTTTTTTTTTTTTAATACAAAAAGGTAACTCATATTAGGCTAATGGAGCTTTAGAGGTTACTCCTGGGATCAACTTTAATATAAATAGTAAATGTAAATAGTACTTGAGAATACTTAAAAAGTTTGTTCTCAAGTATTTTAATCATTCCTTCTATAGTGTTGTTTACCCTGCTAATTTGTGCTTTCATAAAGTTTGTTCAGAAGAGATTAACTTTAACCTAGCCTTATCACAAATTTAGAATTAGTGGTTTATGAATTAATCAGATTTTTATTAAGTACAAGTCCTATACTTAATGCTGTAAAGATGGGAAACCAAGTCCCTTCCTTCAGATAGTTTACAGTATAGGAAAGTAGTTTATAGCAACCTTTTCCCTAGGGAGCTCAAAGTACTTAATAAAGAATTGTATTTTTTCTCACAACACTCCAGAGAGGAGAGGAGAGATGGAAAATAGAGATAATCCTATGGGTTTTACAGGTGTGAAAAATTAAGGCACAAATGTAGGAATATCAATTGTCTTTAGTTATTGGCAGAGACAGTATTCTTGCTGTTTGTGATAAGAAAATCATTAGTCTCGCTTTGCCTTGGTCTTTCATCGGTAAGAAATTATTCCTCCTCTCACTAGTTCACAGGATTGTAGAGAGAATACTAAATATAAAGAAGCTTTGAAAAATCAATGTTATTCAAATGTAAGGTGCTATTAATAATACAGTACTTCCCACCAGGAAAATCCTCTCAGTACAATGTACAGTGGAACCTTGTACATCCAGGTATCTCAGGACCAGAAATAATCTGGATATGGAAATATCCAGAGAGTCCAGAGCTCCCTTGACTGGTCCCCACTCTCCTTTGCTGGTGCTTTCTTATCTGCATTCAGCTACATTCTCCTCTTTGCTGCAGGACCACTCTACTGCTGAGTTTTAGTCTCATTCTCCTATTTTCCTACTACTATTTCCAGTCCTATTAAAAAAGTCCAAATGAAGAACTGGACACATAGAAACAAGATAAGTGTGGTTCCATATTACTAGCTGCATTTCTAGTAATACAGCACAGATGGCTGCTTTAGCATCACTGAAAATGGTAGTGAGGGCTTACTTTATTGTATTTTGAACAACTGTTTTTATTGAGATACTTCTCCCTATCTCTTAGATGTCTTCAACTTGCATTGCAAAGTTGAGCCAATTCTAGACTGTGATAAAAGAGAGTAGTCATGTGAACAAAGTGATACATAATTCAAATATGTTGAGTTCACTTTAGACCACATGGTTTGGAGGGTTTTAGGGGTGTGTGTGTGTGTGTGTGTGTGTGTGTGTGTGTGTAGCATCATTATTATAGTTGTTACTTTTGTTTTGATTAAACAGGTATTTATTATAGTCTTTTTGATTAGACAAGTCATTCATTGCTTAACTGTGTATCACCTGATGATGAGGGAAGATGGCCCGGAAATATGACAGATGACAAGAGAAACCTAGTTTGGGAATACATATTTGCCATAGATAATCAGCATGAAAACATTAAAATCAGCATCTTATCCTGTCAAACCTTAACTACCTAACAGGGACCAAAGCTCTTCAGATGATTTATTTTGTTACTAAGTCACTTTAGCACACATATCTGATCATAGTCCCAAATACTTCATCTTCACACATACCTTCCTACCTCCTCCTCCTCCCATATCAAGGTACAGGCAAAAAGAATGGAAGAGAACTGTCCTAGAGAGGCAGTCTAATTTCTAGACAGGTTGTCTGAGAGTCAAGGGAAGTGAGCTGGCAAAGGAAACAAGTTGCTGTTCATTGCTTAGGCATGTGGGGAGACTGCTTGACTGGCCCCTTAGGTCCAAAGGAAGGGGCCCAAGGGCCTGCCGACATGTTCAGTTCCTACAGCTTTGGTTCTGCTGTGGATTCTTGTTGAACTTTTCACTTTCTTCGGCCCTGGTTTGTGCAGAGCTTACAACCCTTGGGGCCTCTTGACCTTTGTGTCACTAACACTCTTAACAGTAAGCTTTAACTAGTTTCATATAAGGATTTCTCCACTCATTAAATCTGAAAAATATTTCATTCCTCATAGTCATTTTTAACATCATTTCATGGGAAAAGTTTGCTAACCCCCAAATGAAATTGAGGCAATTTGGAAGGAAATTATTTTTTCAAATGACTGGGGTTTGAAAAACTCATCACAGAAGTGAATGTTGAAAACAATTAATTAATTAATTAATTGAAAAAATATTCATATCACCTATGTTCTTCACTCCATTATTTGGAAGTTGAAAATAAAGTTTCTTTTAAGGATGTTAGTAGAAATATGTGACAGCTAAGTTAATATATTAATAAACGTGAAATTGGGCCTCTTGACATTCATAACATTGGAACGACAATGAAGGGATTTTATTAACTTAGACTCGGTAAGCAGTTGGTACTATGATTTACACTGGTGGGAAGGAGGCATTAAGTAGAGGTCTATGAGGAATAATCTTCCTAGCTAGTCTGTGAAGCAGCTGCTATTGGCTTGTCAAAATGTACCCTCACCTCATACAAGTGTACAAATCTGGCAACTGAATATTTATAAAAGGAAGGCTGGCAGTTCCTTAAACACACACATACACACCCCAATAATCAACAAGAATTTATTCAGTACATAACTGCTAAGCATGGGGGATACAAAGACAAAGGCAAAACAGTACCTTCCCTTAGAGGACTTATGTTCAAAGGCAGACAGCACATACACATATAGGTACATATAAAACACACACAAAGCAGACACAAGGTAATTTTGGATGGGATGGCACTAGCATGGCAATATCTGTGGGAAGGGGCTCTGTTCAGCACTAATTTCCTGCTAGTCATGCCTGGAAAGGATTTTCTCATTTTAATTTCATTTCTATTTTCTCACCCCCTGCCCCAAAGTTCTAAGACTGGTCATAAGAAGGATTATCAATTTGGGGTCACACTAATTTTGTGAGTAATGAGACCAGAAAAATGAAAATTCAGTTGTTACTAAAAAAAAAAAAAATTCCTTCCCTATGCCTTTTTAATGTAGCCAAAAGAACATTTTTCAAATGTACAACTATATGCACACACACTCATTAAAGTACCAGCCATATTCATCATTATTCTTTTATTAAGCCTAGAGAACAGGGTGGGAGGCAGCCCTAGTGTTAGAATAATGATTGTCACATTGATGATATTACTTTCTGGCATGGCCAACAGATTTACAAGCAGTTGAAGTGGAGCCCCAGTGGGTGACACTGACCAAATGAGATGTCTCAGCCACCAGAGCAGCTTCTTCCTGCTATAATCTTTGCCGGTAATAGCATGATCACTCAGTGTATTATTCTGAAATCCATGGTTTGGGCAATGTCAGTCAACATCCTCTTTTCCAAAAGCCAAAGTCAGCAACCTTAAAAGTTTCTGCTGCCTGTTTTAAGCATCTCATTACAATGAAAGAATCTCTGTCTTATTATCTTTACCTGAGTACCTCTCATTTCTAAGCCTTTTTTTCATCCTTTGTGATTGTTATTTTGTGGCTTGGTTTAGGGCACAGGAAACCTTCATGCAGTGGGATCAATGCCGAAGATTTTACAATTTCCTCATGGCTGACAACATGAAGAAAATCATCCTTTCTCACAGGTACCATTGCCCTTCCTTCGTTCCTTCTCATGGGGCTCATAGTCATTTGCTGCCTAGGACAATAGGGGCTAGTAAGAGGCTCTGGACCCTCATTTCTACAACATCAAATGGTCTGAATGGCCTGCTTAGACACACAGTCTCAGGTGTTCCTGCTGGCCTAACCATTGCATTTTTCCTTTGTTAGAAATTACATTTTCCTTAACCACCAAAAGCTGGCCAGATTTTTTTTTCTACCTTTGAGTTTAAGTAAATCCAGGAAGGGAATGACTCTCTTATACCATACTTTAACTATAATGTCATAAAGACTGTTAGCATTTTTAAAATTGTAGTCACAAAGCTGATCACAGAATGTATTAATAAAATAGCCACCCAAAACATGCCTCTGCCATATTTATTGCTCTCACTTAAATACTACTTTAATTATGTTAATCCACTTGCTCAAGAAAACTTGAATGCCCTCCCTTTCATCTCATCTGCCTAGATTTAAGGCCTTCCATAATCAGGGTCCACCTGTTGATCCAACAGTACTACAGCAAACATTTTATTAATTGCTTAAATGCTTACTGTGTGCAAAACGTTACTCTGGTTTTACTACTGTTCCCCAACATCTGTCATCTGAAGCTTCATCACACACACAAAAAAAGCCCCAAGTTCTATTGACACCTTTTGTTCTGTATATCACAATTATTTCCCTGCCTTAGAAGGCTGTAATGAGGAGCAAAAGAGGTGTGTATAAAGCAACCCATATATACCACTTAGAAGATAATAAGATTTAGAACTCCAAGAAACCTTAAAAGTGTTAACCCTTCAGGGTTCAGCCTCTTCCTGTGACTGGTGACTGATGAGGAAGTTTGGGCCCAGAGGAGTGAAATGACAGCCCAAAGCCCAGAGGGAGGAAGGAGCAGAGCCAGTGTTTGAGCCCAGGTCTTCTGATTCTATCTCCAGCCCTCTTTCTACAGCATGCTTATCATAGGCTGCCACGTCACTTGTTATTGCCTCATAGGTCTGTCTCTGCAACAAGATTGTCGGTTTCTAGAGGTTACAAAAACAAGACTTTTTTTTTTTATCCCCATAGGCGTTTTATTTAATGATTTTTTTGCTAACCTAGAAATAACAACAAAAGTAAATGCTTAACTATCAATTTGCTATTGTTATATGTTTATTTTTTAATTTAAAGTAACGACCAGAAAAAAAAATTTGGTCTCCTTGCGCTATCATCTGTAAACTGTATGTTTTAGGCCGCTATATTCTAGTATAGCTGGGGCAGCTGGGTGGCACAGTGGATAGAGTGCTTGGAATTAGGAAGACTCATCACTAGTTGTGTGACCCTGGAGAAATCACTTAACCCCGTTTGCCTCTATTTCGTCATCTGTAAAACAAGCTGGAGAAGGAAATGGTAAACTACTCCAATATTTTTGTCAAGAAAACCCCTAATGGAGTCACAAGAAGTCAGACACAACTGAACAACAACATTCTAGCATGCCTCTTTGATCCTTACATAAGATAGATGATAGATGGGGAAGAGATTTTTGTTCCTCATCCTAGATAGGAATTCATTAGACATAGATGCTGCTGCTGCTGCTGCTTTGGTTTGCCCTGTAAATCTGCAACACAGTAGTCACAGGAAGTTCAGCTTTGTGAAATATTTCTTTTTGGGGGGATGAGGACTCCGCCCTGGCAACCAAGATCTGAAAGGCGGTTTTCTTCCAGTCACTAGGTTGATGAGCCTTCTATGCAGGATAATTGCAGCGTGTGCTGCATTAGCTCACTCAGTATACTTTGGGGTACATATGCTTTTCTTGAATTTACTATAGAAAACCAAATATTTGACAACTCAAAGAATTTTTAAAATGTGAATTACATTGCATGTAATTATACAGCATATAATCCCTCCACGAAGTGAACTTTAAAAAACTGAAGAAGTCTGTTCCAGTTCTGCAGTGGGTTTGTAAAGGTGCCAAATGACTTACATCCAATTGGATATAATTCCTGCTTTAGGGTAGGACACCGAAGCAAACGCTGCCCACCTTTGGTCTTGAGGGGGGGAGCAGAACTGTTGTTAAATACTGCAGCATGATTTACAGCTGTTACAGAGATGAAATATAAATACTGCTCATTGGAGCTTGTCTGGTGAGAGTTCCCTCATTTTCCTCTTTGTTAATCTATAGCATCTCTTCTGTAAAAGGAACTACATTCTTGAATGTGGTGTCCAGTTTCTAAGCATATTTCTTTGGTTTTAACATCCCTTTTGGATAAGCTAATTGCCTTCCTCATTAAGAGGAGAAACCAACTCGGAATGGGGAAGACACTCTCCCTGAGGTGGTAAATATCAGTTTGCTGTCATGCCACTGACAACAGTGGGCCAGTGCTACCCGCACGTGTAGCCAGCCTGCTGCCTGGCACTCAGAACAGACTCCACAAATATCTTGTTCTGGGGTAAGAGAAAGAGAGTTCTGCAAGGTTCGGCACTGTCTCAGTTCCAAATGTTTTAGCCTTGTCTGGACTGCCTCCACCCACTCCACAGAGCATATCTTTGTCCCTGAAAGGGCCTGAAGGTCTCAGCTTACCACCTCCTGCTCAAAACCCAACAATCTGAGTTCATTCACTGGCAGACTCTGAGGGCTACAGGGATCTATTTCAAATTGACATATAGACACTTTGGCAAAGTCTCACTCTTTCAGATTATCTTTGAGCAAAGTAGGCCCCTTTGCCATTGCATGCTCCTTCAGTTTTCCTCCTGAAATTGTGTCCTTTTTTGTTTTTATTCCAGGCAAGTTCTGTTTGGAAACAATGTTAAGAAACCTCAAAGCCTTGAGGATACTGACTTGAGCAGGTTGTACACAGCAACATCCCTTATGCAAATTGATGACAATGTGATGAGGTATGTATCGTGTAAGAGCTTTACTGCCTAAGAATAACTTCCTTCTAATATAGCCTCAGTTGTTGGATGAAGTTAGCTCTAGCAGAGAAAGGTGAAGTTGCCTCCTCAACATTTTTTAAGAAGAACTTAAAAGGTTCTATTTAAAGTCAAGAGAGCTTTAGGCATGAACAGAAGCAAGCTAGCATTAAATCTTAGGTAAATATCCCTGGAGGATAAAGCCTTTTCTTATTCTTATGACAATAGTGATCCTCTTGCACCAATGATATCCATTAAGCCACTAGCCTTGGGGGAATCTCTTGTTATTTGTCCTTTGTTCTCAAAGAGGACTTTGACATCAGGAAGGTGATGTCATGACTTGCAAGTGAATTGGATTTAAGTGAGGCAGGGCTGTGTAAAGTCACCAACCTCATTCTCTCCTGAGTCATCTGGGTCCAAGTGGCAAGATATATATCAGGACAACTGGAAATGGCCCTGGATGCAGTTTGACCTTTTTAAGCTAAGGTCTTTCCCAGGTCTCAGTTTGTCTAAGGCAATGCCCTTTCAGTGATTAAGGCCAGGTAAGAAATGAGGCAAAAAATGGCCTTGTAAGGAAAAGAGGGGATCAGAAAGCTTTCAGCATGAGCAGAAAAATAGAATGGATTTTAACTGTCTCCATTTAAGATAGGGACAGTTTTTAGCTTTGAAAAGCCAGGTTGGCAAGGGAGTTCCTATACTGAGTCAAGCCTCCCTTAGAGTAAATCTTTTTTCTTGTTATTTCTGTTAAAATTGAACAGAAAGAAAAAGGTAAAACCCTTGTAACAAATAGGCATAGTCTAGCAAAGCAAATGTTTTCATTGGTCAGGTCCAAAAATATATGTCTCGTTCTACATTTTGAGTCTTCTCTCTGTCAGGAAGTAGGTAACATGCTTCCTCTTGGGGTCTCTGGAATTTTGGTTTATCATTGCATTGATCATAGTTCTAATGTCTTTCAGAGTTTTTCTTTATAATGTTGTTACTGCATACATTATTCTCCTGGTTCTATTCATTTCATTCTGCATCAGTTTTTACAGGTCTTCCCTGGTTTCTCTGAAATTGTCCATTTTGTCATTCTTAAATCAAATCTGAACCTCTCAACATCACTGGAAAAAAATTAGTTTCCTAGGAATCATCTGAACTAGGGATGTTCTGGGTCTGTATCATATTCTTAAGCCTTAAGCAGGACAAATCTGACCCCTAAAACTTGAAAGTCAGGGCTATTATTTGTTATGATGTCCATCCCGTAGCATTTTATATTTTTGTTAAAGTAGTCTATCCTATGATGGTTTACTTGGAGATTCTAATAGAATCAACAGAGATACTAATTGAGACAATTAATAACTTCAGCTAAGTTGCAGGCTACCAAATAAGCCCTGAAAAATCTAGAGCATTTCTATATAAATAACAGAATCCAAGAGACAGTAATAGAAAGGGAAGTCAATCCCATTTCAGATAACTGTAAAATGCATGAAATATCTGGAGATCAACCCACCAAAGCACACAAAATACTCTGTGTGTGTGTGTGTGTGTGTGTGTGTGTGTGTGTGTTCAGTTACAAAATTCCCCTTAAACAAATAAAGAACAACTTAAAAAGTTGGAGGAACATTCAGTGCTTGGGCTGGGCCATGCCAACATAATAAAAATGATAAATACTACCAAATTTAATTTATAATTTTAATACTATACCAATCAAATTGTCATAGAGATACTTTACAGAACTCTATAAAAATATAATAACGATGCATTTAGAAAAATAAAAGATCTAGAGTATCAAGGAAAATGATGCAAAGAGGTAAGTTTAAAGGAAGAATAACACTTCTAGACCTCAAATTTTTATTATAAAGAAGCAGTCATCAAAACCATCTGTTATTGGTTAAAAAAGAAATTAGAGAGGTACATCAATAGAACATACTAGACAAGGGAGAATTAGAAATAATGGAACCTTGATAAACCAGAAAACAAATTACTTAGGAAAGAATTTACTATTTGATAAAAACTACTAGGAAAACTAGAAAACAGGCTGATAGAAATTAGGATTAGATGAACGTCTTATACCATATTCCATAATAATCCTTATTATTAAGGATCATACTGTTTTTAAAAATTAGAAGAGAAAGTAGTCTATCCCTAATTACTGCCTCCTAAATAAATAGGACTTGGAACTTAACATCCATGTCCACTTCCTGCTTCCTAATTTATGTCATCTCATCCTACAATAATCTAGGTGAAAAGACTGTCCTCTGTTGCAAAGAATGCCTTAGCAACCTCTGAATTTCCTAGCCTCTTCAGTGATGTCTAGCTTCATGCCAACCTGGGCTCAAATAGTTGGTCTTTATTAAAATGATGGAAAGATGTTAGCTCTTGTAGATGAATCTGGGAATTAGAAGAAAGATAAAACAGACCAGCATTGAGACCTGAAGAAAAGTATCTATACCTTTCTTACATTTCTTTTCCTCCTTTGGTATATCTTAGGAAGTTCCATGGCTATAATTCTCTGAAGGAATATTATGAAGAAGAAAGCTGCATGAGATATCTGCACAGGGTGAGTGGCTAGAACTGACTATAAATAATAACACTATTTTTGCTTTGCCCCCAAACCTAAAATACGTGGACTTGGAATTCGAAAAGACCTTGGAGTCCAGCTAGTAAAAACACTCCTCCTTACATTATTTCTGGTTATGATCATCCAGATTCTGCTAGAATACCTCTAGTGGTGGAGCACTTGATACTTCACAAGGCAACCCGCTTTATCACTGGCACATTCAGATTGTTAAAAACTTCTTTCATATATTGCACTGAGATCTGCTTTCCTCATAACTTGGATCATAGATCTGTAGTGAGGAGCAACTTCAGAAATGACCTAGTCCAATTGTCTTATTTTACAGATGAGAAAACTGAATACCATAGTGGTTGAGTGTCTTACCCAAGGTCACACAAGTACTAAGTGACAGATCTGGGATTTAAACCCAGGTTCTCTGACTCTAAATACAAGCAATCCTTCCACTGCACTGTGCTGCTTAGTTTTCTGCCTTCTGGAATTATATGGAAGAAATCTACCTCCCTTACAGGAAAGCCTTTCAGATATTTGAAAAGTTATTATGTCCTCCTCTAAGTCTTCTCTTCTCTCTCAGTTCATTAATCTGCTCCTCATGAGAGGGTGTACAGATTCCTCATCATCGTGGGCCACCTTCCAAATCATGTCTCTTTTAAAATGTAGCACCCAGAATTAAACACAGTATCCCAGACACATTTAGATAACACAGAGCTATAATGGCATTAGTACTGTGATCTTAGTATAATATGCAGGAGTTCTTAACCTGGGGTCCAAAGACCTGGGGGGAGGGAGGAAAGAAGGATCTATGGATAGATATCAAGGAAGTTTATGAGAAAAAATTATTTCAGTGTAATTGGTTTCCCTTTGTAGTCTTGTGTATTTTATTTTATGCACCTAAAAATATTACTCTGAGAAGAGGTTCATGAATTTCACCAGATTACCAAAAGGATCCATGACACAAAAAGAGTTAAGAATCCAAGCTTTTGAATGCAAACTAAAATTGAATTCATTTTTTAGCAGCCATGTGACATGGTTGGCTAATAATAGTTAGCTTTTAGAAAACTTAAATTCCCAGATCTTTTTTCACATCAACCTGCTGCCAGTATAATCTCCCCATATGTTTTTGTTTTGTTTTGTTTTTTAACCGAAATAGAGGACTTGATTTTTAGAAGGAATAGAAAAGAGGATTATATATGAAACAGTGAACTTCTGTTAAATAACTGTTTTTTGAAAGTCTATATTAAATTTAACAAAAAAGTAATAAAATTGCCCTGTTTTGTGTCCCCCAAAGTATTTTTGTAGTGGAATGAATGTATTAGTTGTATCACTTCCAGCTAGCATTATTAACAAGTTCAGCCAAGGTCACTCTCAACCTGTTTATGCACATTCCAACTCAGTGTCTAATCATGATACTACTAGAAGTTTATCATTCATGTATTGCCAACTTGGCATTTGTATACACTGATCAAAGATATTGGTCTTTGTTCACTTTCTCTTAAGAAAGTATTGAATAGTGAGTTTCAAGGTTTGGCCACCCAAGAACAATGATGGCCATACATAAAGACAGGAGTTTTACCTTTATTTTTCCTTGTACAGATTTATGTTCCACTCATGCTGGTTAATGCTGCTGATGACCCCTTGGTGCATGATAGTCTTTTAACAATCCCCAAAGCTCTTTCAGGTAAGCGTTTCTTTTTCTTAATCCCTTTCCATACTCATTCTGACATAGTAAATCCCATCATCTTCGTCATGAAGTGATCTCCTAGAAATATATTTTATGTAGGGAGGCTTTTCTTACTGCCATGCATTTATCCAACAAGATTCCGTTCATATTCAAAGAATTAATGTTGCCACCCGAATACCTAAAAAAGAAATATTCTGGCTTTCCTCCTATCCTATTGCGAGAGGCCAGAACTATCAATCCAGGAGCTATTTCTTCTGTCACCCAGTGCTATGTGAAATTGTGTGGTAGATTATGATTTTTCTAAGCTGGGAAGTTTGGCTTTGGGAAGGAAAGTATTCAGAACCACCAGAAGAACAAAATATAAAGTCATCACTGCCGATGCCTTGGGGACTCCAGCTGTGCCAGGGACTAAAACCAAGCAACTAGAAGAGCAAAACAACACTGCCCAGTGGAGAGTAGTTTATTGGGTTTGAGGTTGGTATGATGTCATTCCACACTAACCAAGAGATAGCTAGAGGGCAAAGAAGAAAGCTGAGGAGAGAGAGGAAAAGATCTGGGAATGCCAACATTATCTTTCTTTGTCATCCAGGAGACAAACTGGACATCATTTTAGATCCCTAGGATATAAACCACAAGAGAGGGAAGACTGTGAGGGGAAAGTTTTCCTCTTGTGAATATAATAGGTGAATCAAAGGAAAGAAGAAAATTTTTGGTTCATTTAAAACACTCAGGGCTGGGAGAAAAAAAGAACACATAGTAGAACAAAACACAAAGGACTCAGTCACTAATCTAAGCCTTTGTAACCCAGGAAGTAAAAGAAATATGTATTCCAGAAGTTAGATGTTATGCAATAAAAAGCTTTCATTATGAGAGAGAAGTGGTCTCATGATTTCTTATATTTGAATATAATAGTAGAGGTGCATTATAGACAGAGGGCCTGGGTTCAAAATCTACCTCTGTCATTTACCACCACTGACCTTGGGCAAACCACTTTAACCTCTGTGGTTTTTCCTCATCTGTAAAATGAATAGGCCAGACTAAATGAACTCATCAAAAAAAACCATTGTTTTAAGTATTTACAAAGAAAGGCACAAACAGTCTTTGCTCTCAAAGAGTATGTGTTCTAACAGGGGTGGGTAGAATGTAAATAACTACATACGTAAAAGATATATAGAGTACCTGGGAAGAAATCTCAGAACAGAAAGCACTAGCAGCTGGGGAAACTAGGAAAGGCCTCCTGCAGAAAGTGAGATTTTGGACCATTTTAGCCCAACTGTAGAGTGCAAAAAAGGAAATAAAGCCTGAGAGGACTGGAAAAGTAGGAAAGGGTCAGGTTATGAAACCTTTATTGCCTAACAGAGGAGTTCATGACTCTGGAGATCATAGGGAGCCACTGAGTTTATTGAATAGTGAAGGGACATGGTCAGACCTGGGCTTTAAAAAAAATCACTGTGGTAGTTGAGTGGAGAATGGTTTGGAGTACAAAGAGAATTGAGGCAGGGAGAACAGTTAGAATACTATTGCGCTAGTCCAGGTGAGAGGTGATTAGAGCCTGAACTAGCATAGAGGCTATGTGAGTAGAGAGAAGGGAACATAGAAGAGAAATGTTTTGGAGAGAGAAATGACATGATTTGGCAACAAAATGGAGATGTGAGGTGAGTGAAAGTGAGGCACTAAGGTGAATAGGAGAATGGTAGTGCCCCAGACAGTAATCGGGAGGATGAAAAGAAAGTTAAGTTCTGTTTTAGAAATATTGAGTTTGAAATGCTGAGAAGACATCTGGTTCAATACGTCCAAAAAACATTTGATGATATTAGACAAGTACTCAGGAGAGAAATAAGGACCGGATATATAGATCTAGGAATCAGCCATATGAGGGTCAGAGGCATTTAAGGTGAGAATTAGGGTTAGGGTTAGGGTTAGGGTTGAGATAATATAGATGGGAAAAAAAAAAAAAAGATGGCCCAGATCAGAGCCACAGTTAGTGGGTGTGACCTAGATAAAGATAGAACAAAGGATGTTGAAAAGGTAGGATAAGAACCAGGAGAGAGTAGTGTCACAAAAACTTAGATAGGAAAGAATATCCAGGAGGAGAAAGCAGTCAACAATATCAAATACTACAGAAAGAAGGATAAGGTTATTGTATTTGGTAGTTAAGAGATCATTGGTAACTTTAGAGAGGGTAGTTTCAGTTGAATGATGAGAGGTGAAAGGGTTAAGAGAGTGAGAGAAGTAAGAATGAAAGCACCTAGTGTAGATGGCTTTCTCGAGGAGTAGCTGAGAAGGAGAGGAGAGATATAGGGTGAGAGCTCACCAGAAATATCAGAGTGAATGAAGGAAGGAGGGAAACGTTTATTAAGCACTCCGTAGGCTTGTAGTACTTGTAGGCTCAAATTGAGGATTTTTAAAGTTGAACAGACATGGGCGTGTTTGTAGGTAGCTGGAAAGGAACTAATAGGGAAAGATCGGAGATCATAGAGATGATAGTGGGGATAATATTTGGGAGAAAATTAAAGAAGTTACGTTCGGAGTTGGCCTTGACAAGGAAAAAAGTCACCTCTCCATATGATAAAGTACTGAAGGTAGAAATAGTGGGGGAGAAATGTTTGAGTGATGTGAGATGAGATGACATGAAGGAGCTCTTGGCAAATGGCCTTGGTTTTTCGGGGAAGTATGTGGTAGTGTCCTCAACAAAGAGGATCGGGGAAGAAGTGCCTCGAGATACATGGGGAGAAATGAGAAGATTTGGAACAGTTAGTGTAGACTGAATCAGTTAAAGGGGAGTAGAAAGGTAATCTTGATGCAGTGAGGGTCTAGCTGAGAGTAGGAAATACAAATTTGTAACAGACCCAGTTAGCACCATATTGTATTTTCTCCAGCTCCATTCCAGCATGTGAATAGGAGCACAGGATTCAAGCGGTGGGAGAAATCCAAAGTTGGGTTTGGCAAGGCACATGATAAATTATCAGATAAGTGACTGAGTGGAGAGGTTAGTGCAGAGTTGAACTGGTTCACCAAGGGGTCAAGAGAGGGAAAAGAGGAGAGGGTGGTGGCCTCTGAAAGACCTGAAGGGAATGAAGTTACATCGAGGATAAAGAAAGAGTTAGGGTTTTGTAAGGCTTAGGGAAAGATGGGATGCTAAAAGATTGGTCATATAAAAGAATTTTAGAGTTCATAAAAATGGAACAGAGCAACAGCAAACTCCATTTAGCTGAGGTGGAATGGAGTGGTCATCAGAAATGAGTAGATTGAGGAACTGAAAAGTTAGAGAATTTGAGGGAAAAATAATATGTATGTTGAAGTCCTCTAGTCTGAGGGCACTGAACTCGTTGAAGAAAGAAAGATAATGTCCTAGAGATGGATTAATAACAGGATTAGTAACCAGGCTCTGGGTTTGGTAATAAACCTGGAAATCATGAAACGCAAAGGAAGAGAGGTTGCTGAGTAATGGTGGCAGAGGGCAAGTCTGAAAGTGTCAGTGGGGAGCAGAGGAGAGTTCCAACTCCACTGCTGCAACCAGAGCTGGCAGGGTGGGCCAAAGAAGCAGTCATCAAGAGGGAATCAGGTCTCAGAGAAGATCAGAAGACAGAAATCTGTTAAGTTTGAAACAGGTGTCACAGAGGGCAAAATGGAAGAGGTGAAAAGATCTGAAATGGGACTTTGGGGGGTTGGTTTGAGATGGATAGGGGAGTAAGGGAGCAGGCATTTGGGATGGGGAATAAGATCTGTACATTGGCAGCTGAAATTTGAGAATCACTGTGATAGGACATGATGTATAAAAGACAGGAGTTACGTTAACCATTGAGAGAGGTCCATTGAGGGAGGCAGTTGAATGACCTGTTCAAGGCCCTCCCTTGAGGTCCAACCTTGTGGCCAATGAAGATGATGATGGGGGTGGGGGGTGGGAATGTGTCCTGAGAGACTTTAAAAGGTCTGCTTCACAGCAGGCAGGAGCTAGAAGAGGTATGGGAGCCAAGGTCTGGCACTAGATTATACCTGGAAGGCTATGGTCACTTCCAGCCCTAAGCCTATGATCCTCTGTTCCTAAGTAATGCTACTTTAATGTCTCCAAGGATCTAAGGATCAAATAGGACACAGTCTCATTTAAAACAGCATCTAGATTTCTAAACCAGTCTTACAAAAACATATAAAATAGTAATCAAAAAGAACATGCCTATAAATATTATTATGTTTATGTCTTAAGCCAGGTGTGTTGAACAGATAGCCTTTTACATATCACATCCCTAAACCAAATTCATCAGCGTCTTAGCCTCTTGCCTTCCTCAGCTAATTTGAGAGACAGGGGTGATTTAATGAAAAATCATTGCCACTATTTGGGATACTCTTTTGAGCATGCAGGTGCTACCAGTGAGCAAAATAGAGACCTATTACACAACTTTCTTTATCTGCACCCAAAGGGAGACAGCTGGAATCTGATCACTCACAGAGATGCTTTTTGTCCCCTTGCAGAGAAACGAGAGAATGTCATGTTTGTGCTGCCACTTCACGGAGGTCACTTAGGCTTCTTTGAGGGTGCTGTTCTTTTCCCGGAACCCCTGACCTGGATGGATAAGCTGGTGGTGCAGTATGCCAATGCCATTTGCCAATGGGAGCGTAACAAATCCCAGTGCTCAGACACAGAACAAATGGATGCCGATCTGGAGTGATGCCATTATAGACTCAGAAGCACTCCAGCGGCCCTTCCTTCTGAAACTACTCATCTCTTCACTTGCTGCTTCAGGTTTTCATCCTTCTCAATAACCTGGGTATGTCAGCAGGGAAGCTTCCTACCAAGAGCACCTCTCGTCGAGGCAGATGACTGTGCCCAGGATCTTCAGGCTATTTTTGTGCTTAGGTTACTGGTTTTCTTTATTGCATTATTGGCCATGATAATGAGTGGCGGGGGTTCTTGATCACCTGTCCAATTTCAGCATTTGATTAAGCCAATTGTCATCTAATTTCTCTATTAAAAATGTATCTGGACAGCATCTTTGCCTTGCCCATCAAAAAAATCCTCCCAAGAATGTGGCAAGATGTATCCTAAAGTTTTGTGACTATACTTTAAGCTGCTGTTTCAGCTCTGAAAGGGCCTGTGGTTCCAAGCCAATACTGGGGAGAGGGAGCTTGAACCACTTAGCATGAGAGTTTAGGGGAATGTGAGCTCCATAAGCAGGAAAAAAAAATCAGCTTCTATAATAAGCCAAGTTCCATATTTACAACACTTCTTAAAGGGTCTTTCACCCTGTTCAGGAAAGGATTTAGATTAGAACTATCTTGTTTAGAATTTCTTACTGAAGTTTATAACCAGAGGTGTCTTGAGTATCAGTGACTATCAGCTTCAGACATAATGAAGGCACACCATTTTGGGATTGCCTTTTGTACATTTGCAGTAGATTGTAGTGGATAGAAAACTAGGAATCCTAGTTCTGCCGCGATGACCTTGGGCAAGTCATTTAACCTCTGTCAGCCTCAGTTTCCTCATCTGTAAAATGAGAGAGTTGGACTGGTTGATCCCTGAGGGCCTGTCCAACTCTAAAATTATATGGTGATTATATTTGGCTAGTTTTTGAGAGAACAGAATTCCAGATGACTTCCTGTTCTTTGAATTCTTGCCCAAATCAAACAAGTAGCCTTGATATGATCATTTGCCTTTCTTTTGTTTCCTCATTACTTGTGTAAAGGATTTTCTTTAGCACTGAATCATGTGGTGGGTTTTTTTGTTTGTTTGTTTGTTTGTTTGTTTGTTTGTTTTAACCCAGGTCTGCTTAACACTGGCTTGGCAATTCAAAAGTAGAATTTAAGTTTAGACATTTAAAAAGCTGTCTTTTTTGGAACCGAATTTTTATTGAATCTCCTTTACTTATATACTATCAGATAGACTTTTCCAGAGTCTGAAGTCAAAAAATATCAGTTGGGATTTGAGGTTTTATCCTTTTCCTGATCTGTTGGCCCCTCTGTATCTAAAACCTCCAGTGGTTTCTATAATATGAAGTTGCTAAAAACCAGCAGTTGCTATATGGTATTGTACAGCATTTATAAAGATACTACTTTTCAGTCTTTTACCTTCTTTAACTTCTTTGACTCCAGCAATAAGTGGAGGCTAATTTGGAAAGCTCAGCTGGGGAGAACTACTCAGGCACTTTGAAGGCATTATTTTTATGTCCATTGACAGAAGGATATGTGTATTGCCCCAAGTGACCATGATGATAATGACTTATTTCTACCCTGAAGGAATTCTGTATGACAATCATTAGATCACCACCTTATTAGAATGAACAACAGACAATATTGAAAAATATTGGAACTTCTTTGGTCTCAGTTTTGCTTTCTGATTATTTCCTTGTTCAATTTATTGTAATATTTTCCAAGTTGTATTCTTTGCCTTTCCTGGGACACTCTTTTAGCACCAATTAGCACTTTATTATATTAGCCTTGATTTGGCAATTAGCCACTTTCATCCCCCCCATCCCCAACCCCCTACCCACTCACAACTGAAATCTAGAACATTCTTAGACAGACTTCCTGGCACTGCCATCACTTCTCTAAACTTAGATTAGTTAAACCAAGCAATAATTGTATAACCATTGAATTACTGTATCAAAAATGGTAAACTCCTTTTGTTTGCCTTTGGCCATCTTTTCTGGCCTATTCTAATAACTGGCACATGTGCATATGCTGCTACATTCAGTAGGAAAAAGGATCAGATCACCATTGTCTCATACAGAAAAGACTGAAGGTATGGGAAAGATCCAGCCAAGTGGGAAACTGTCTTTTTCCCCTGTGAAGACTGTTTCCTGGTGACTGGTTAGCAGGATCATTCTCTGTTTGCTTTTGTTGGGAAAGAGTCACATCTGTCTTTCAGCCTTTGTGACTGCAAAAGCAGAATTTAACATGCAGCATCCCGTGGACAACGTCGCAGCTAAAATCTTTTGTGCAATGTGACCGACATGGCATTTACATTCCATTTTGGCCCACGTGGAATTGACTGAAACCCTTTGTATGTGTTCCAGTCTCTTCAGCATAGAAATGAGGGTGTGGATGTGGCTTTTTGTCTTACAAGGAAATCCTTGTTCTTGTTCGCTTCTCGGATGAATATGGGTAGCATTGAATTTAGAGAAATGCCAGCTTCCCAATAAGCCATGGGTGCATTTGGAGATTTTCTTTTCCCTTCCTCCAGGCTTCCTATTTCATTCCTCCCAGCCACACTGACAGCCAGTAGCCATTACTAAGAAGTAGAGGTTTTTTCCTTTGCTCTCTGTCTGCATTTGATTGGTTGAATCCACATGAAATGACCTGTGTCTAGGAAAGAAAACATTTTTGGCCATTTCCTAAACCTATCTGTTTTAAGATATTCTTAATATAAAGTAGCAAGGAAAACCTGGGCTACTTTTCAAACCCTACTCTACCTCCCCCTTAACCAGAAATAAAACTGTACCAATTAGGGCTAACATGAACTTGGATTTCCAAATGGTGTTGGAAGTGGTATGTCTAGTTTTATATCAGATTCTGCTGTACCAACACCGGAGCAGTGGTAATATGTTAAACCAAAGTGTAATGAATGTTCCTATTTCTTCCTGCTGTATTCTTTCCACCTCAGAAAGCAGAAGTAAGCCACAGTCCAGTAACTCATCCAGACTGGCTTAGTATTTGGTACAGTATAGGGAGGAACAGTTGCCACTTGAAAAGTAATGTCAAGTCCCCTTGACGCATTTATGTTTAAGGATGCTTTTAACAGGTTTGGAAAACAAGCCTTTGTCTCTCCGAGGGAGGCTCCTATCACCATAGGATAGAGGCCAAAGAGATTTTTTTCCTTCATTTGTTCCAGGTCTTTTGTTTAATGCCCTTGGAGTCATCCTTCATCTTTTAATGTGTAGAGGTTGTATTACCACATCCTTCCGATATGGAAGCTCATCTGAATTAGGGATTCTGCATTCTTGAATCTCTTTAGCAAGGCCTTGACTTAGTTACCTACATCTAGTTGCCGATCATTGGTGGTCAGCACAGATTCATTCCTCTAACCTAGATCTGTTTACAGACCCTCTAGGCAGAGCCTGACCACTCCTACCTTATTGAGATTCCTTGCATATGGAATACAGCTGTGTCAAAGCTTAGCTTACTAAGATTTAGGGAAGGAGATATTGTATTTAAAAAACTGTTATTAGGGAAGACCGTTGGCACTGGCTAGAGCACTATCTCATACCTTCAGGACCTTCTGTAGTGTGACCATTGTTACCTTAAACCCTTTCTCAGTTCTAAAGTGTTTGTAATCTTGGCCCATGTTTCATGGGGACCAGTTGAATAATACCATCATTCAGCACGTGAGCCAAGCAGGGCAATGAGACTCTTCCTAAGGTAGAAAATTCCACATGCTCAGCCTTTTCTTTTCCAAAACTAGCTCTGAAGTTCTGTAATTCAGTTATTAAAGCAATTTGTAGCCTTCAGCGTAAGTAGGCATAACTCTTTATATAGCTAAGCTCACCATGCCATGCATTCAAATTACAGATCTCTTTATAACATGACTTAAGATCTGTGAGCTCCAGGGGCACAATGGAACTTTTGTTCCTGTTTATGCTTTATAAGTGAGCAGATGTGTGGGATTTGAGCTGTTTTTCTTCTTCTATACAACACTGATTCTGACTTAGGCCTGAAGTAAAGATTGTTGAACTATCATGCTAGTTTAAAAGATATTACTGGTCTTCATCCTTCAGGAAGTACAGAAGGGCCATTTAGTACTATATCATTGCAGCGTCCTGTCAAGTATACTTGGGAATGTCTTCCTTCACACCCAGAGCCTGCAGGAAATCCTCTGATATCTATCATAATATTGTAGTGTCTTTCTGCTGTGAGAGATTGAACTAAAACCATCATAAGGCAGAAAACATAGTCCTCACTCTCGTTATAGCTAGTCCGACTCCTAAAATCCAGCCAAAACTCACTAAGCACGTAGACCTACAGAACTCTTTCTACCTAGGCTACTGCCTAAAGCTTTTTGGATCAAATAAATGATTCACAGGTACTGAGTTTGGGTTTGCCCCAACTATAAACTATAAAGATTTGGCTGCCTCTAACCTTGGGAGAATAAACAGCTAAGGAAGTGTCCTTCTTCCTTGTCACTAAAGCAAAAGAAAAAAAAAAACTCTCCGTGCCTCTCTGAGATGAGGATCACTGTTGCCAAATCATTCAGGACAGTACAAGCAGGGGCAGAGAGCTATGAGACCTTCTAGTCTAAAAAGCTGCTTCTTCTGACCACTGTTGCATCTTCCTTGTGACTCAGCAACACTGCAGGCATTTCTCTTACAAAGGGGGCATGGCGTAAGGCCAGTACCCCAAGGCAGGAAAGCCAAACCAGCCAACCCTTTTTTTCAGGTACCAATCATCAAAGAGCTGCCTCTTCTAGGATATCAACCGTCTCTATAAAAGCCTCATCTATTCCCTAATTTCCTAATTATAATATTGAGTAAAGCTTTCATGTATTTTAATGAGTGGACTTATATAGTTCCTAGACATTGGGTTAGGTCACATATTCTAATTTCCATGAAGCCTCTAGATCTTTGCTTCATTTTTGATGACTAGTAATAAAACCTTAACTTAAGGATATTAACTTAACTTATGGAAGATAATTGTGTTGACATTGGCCAAGAGATCCACTATTGCCATAAATTCAAGGACAGCCTTCATTTGAGGGATCTGCAGAAGCGCCTTCCATTTCAATGTCCAACCTTCTTCCAGGCCTCCCATGATATGGTAGCCAACAGGCCATAAAAGTTCAGCTGACCAACTTGGGCCTAATGAAACCCACTCACTTCACAAACTGTTCATGGCCATGAACAATTTTTCTTTATTTCAGAAGTAGTTTTCCCCTGAGGAATTTTTTTTGTGGGGGGAGAACAGGGGAACAGACCCTTTGCATTTTTCCTAAAGCACAATTCAAAGTAAAATTCTCTCCTTCCACACTGGTTCCAGATGATGGGATAGTTCACTCTGCCTCAGGAAGACCTACACTGTACCTGAGCTTTCTGACTTTTGCCACTACAGCGGCCTTAGTGAAGTTGGGGGGGTGGGGGTGGGGAACGGGGAGGGTAAGGGAGGGGGAGTGAGTGTGCATTTCTTTCTGTATTTTGGTTGGACTCTCCTGTTCAACATATCTTCTTAATTTTGGCAGATTTGCTTCCAGATAGGTTTTTAAAAAACTTTCACTTCACATTCCTGTTATGTTGCAAGGTTGTTGGTTTTTTTTTCCCCTAAATTTAAAATGCTGCCCTGAAAAAAAAAATTAGTTTGTATACTGAAAACCTTCCAGCCTTTGGATCTTAAAGGGGGTAGGTGGGGAGAATGGGATCCTTTAGCTCTAAGGCATTTAAGATTTGCAACTAGCAATGCAATTTTTTCTAAATATGGTGAGGTTTACCTTTATTAAGAAAATCATATTAAGCAATGATGTCCTTGATCTTTTTATTTTCTCGTATTACTTTTGGACCTATTTTGATTCTGTGTGGTGGTAAACAAAGATCATTGCAAACAAAAAATGATAATTTTGTTATCTTTGATTCAATGGAATTTCTTTACTTAAAAAAAATAAAGGATAAAATCAACCAAGATGTGGCCTGGGCATTTTCTTCGTGCAGTAATTATTTTCCAGAGACAACATGGAGGAAAGATCATTGGACCTACAATCAGAATACAGGGGTCCAGGTATCATCTTTGGCATTTTGACAGCCATATGATTGTGGGCAAATCACCCAAATACGTCTGAGCCTCCATTTCATCTGTAAAGTGAGGATAATGATATCTGGCCTCCCTACCTCACTTGGTGCTTGTAAAGAAATTGTTTTGTAAGGTTTACAACACTATATAAATAGATTATCATTATTAACCAACAATCTCATTCTTCATTTTTACATCTAAAACCATTGCTAAGAATACATGACTTGGCTTGCACATTTGTCTTAGGCAGCTGAGCGGGGTGCAAGATTTAGGAGTGGATGTTTGGCAGAGTTGGAAGGTGCCAGGCTTAACAGCAGAACAACCACTGTCGTTTGCTCCTAGAATAAAAAAGTGGTGGTTGTTGTTGTTAAGTCCTTCAAACATCTGGCTCTTAACCCTGTTGATTTAAATACAGACTTGCCAACTGGATTTAAAATTACGAATCCATAATTATTTTTAACTCGCCCTATCTCTGAACTTTCCATTCTTCGTCCCTTGCCATTAACAAATTTACTTACCTTAGATTATTTGACAGGCTTCTTTCATAGCAACAACTTTTAAAAGACTGTGTAGACCAGGGATTCTTAATGTTTTTTGTGTCATAGACCCCTTTGGCAATCTGGTGAAGCCTATGAACCCTTTGTCAGAGTGATGTTTTTAAGTGTATAAAACAAAATAAGATTACAAGGGAAACAAATTGTACTGAAATACGGTTATCAAAATATATTTTAAAAACAAGTCCGTGGACCCCAAGTTAAGAACTTTTGTTGTAGACATTATTAAGATGATAGTCACTCTGTTTTCTTGTTATTTGCCCAAATCACTGGCTACAGACACCAAGTGATGACAAAACCATCCTCCCAGTCACCCAAGTTCATCACCTCTTCCTCTTCCTCTTCCCTCTCTTGCACATCCAATCAGTTTAAGTCCCCATAGTTTCTCCCTCCACAATTACCTGTCCCTTCCTTCATTCTCATAGCCAGCACACTAATTCAGGCTATCTTCTATTCTAATAGAAGCAGGCTATTCTAATTTTCTCCTACCTCGTCTTCCTGCCGCCAGTCTATTTTTCCTCCTTGCATCTTCCTGTCTGCCTGAATCTAACAAATTGCTTTAATACGTCACTCCTTCCGTGTTTCCCTATTGTCCACCAAATAAAGCACAATGTAAGCTCGGAATCTGGTGTTCAAAGCCCTCACAATCCAGACTGTAGCCTTATATAACCCTTCCCACATCCTACATTCCAGCCATATTAAACTATTCCATGTTCCCCATCTTCCCCTTCCTATCTACTTTTCTCTCCATGTCTTTGTTCATGTCACCCTACCCCTTCCCCTACCTTCCCCCACCTAGAATGACTTACCCTATTCCAGCCTCTGTCAATTAAAGTTCCAACCTTTTTCATCTCCCAAGAAGTCTTTCCTCAATTTTCTAGGTGAAAGTGATACTTTCCTCCTCAAATTTCTCACTTTGCCTGGACATTCTTGTACACATTGCTTCTCTATATCCTCCCTCCGTCCCTCCCCACATTTCACTGTAAGCATCTTGAGAGTAGGATGTGGTTTGTATCTCTCTCTCTCTCTTCCTTCAGTGCCTTGCACATAATATCCGTGAAGTGACTTTGACAAGAACACCAACCTAGGCTAGTAGAATGGTTCCAATCTGTGGACCTCTTTTGCTGGGCCCCTCCTGAAAGCTGATACAAGCTTTGTATTGCTGACCTTCACACAGTGGAGTATCATTCCTCTTTACCGAGGGATATGACCCTAGTAGGAACTGTCTGGGCCGGAAGTTGGGATAGTAACACCTATGTTACTAATAAAAACTTCATACATCTCCAGTGAGCAGGTCTGTCCTTCCCAGGCTGTCTTTGATCATAGACCACTCCTAGAGGAAAGTGGCCATGACCTCATGAAAACTGCCGCATGAAAGACATTCCAGGCCTTGGATATTAGGTAGGTCATTATCAGCGGGAAGTTTGTTTCAGATTGGGTCTGCACAGCTTGCTGTCATGGTCAATTAAGACAACTAGTCCTGCGCAGGGTCCAACAGACTGGATCCAGACAGCTGTGATTCTTAGCCAAACCACAGGCTTGTGTGTATCATATTCACATCTGTGTTTGGATAGGCTGCAGTGTATCAGTATGGTACCTATAGTCACAGACTACAAATTCTCCTAAAATGTGGGTTTGGTTATACTTTTCACCAGCACAAAATGAGCCTTTCAAGTATAGTTTGTACAGACCTTTTCTTTGAATGAAGATCAAGTCTGCCATAATTTCAGCACTTTGCTACCAGACTCTTAATATTTGGGCCACCTCCTCTGCAAGTGAATAGAAAACTCTTTCGGCCAACTTTGCTTTGGATCACCATACCTCACTTTTGATTCCAAAGAAAGAGGACCTCCCTTTCTAGCAGTCACCCATAATTCACTGAAATTATTTTGTTGGCAAGAGTTCTCACTGGACTCAGGCAATTAAATTATTAAATTAAATGCACAGTAAATTTGATGGGGCTGTCATGTGGAAGAGAATTAGGTTTGCTCTGTTTGGCAGGAGAGAGCAGAAAGAACTAGGAGAAAAGCATGAACTTGAAATGAGGCAGGTTTCATTTTAAAATAAGGAGAAACTTAACAATTGAATGGAATGTACTTCTTTAGAAGCAGTGGGTTCACCCTCACTGGCAAAGGATAGATTACTATTTGTTGGGCATATTATAGACAGGTGGACTCCTTTTCAGTTACAGGTTAGACTTGCTGATCCCAGAGAGAATGAGAATGGGACTTGAGCATAGTGGTTTTCTGTACAGGACTGGTCAATTATATTGGTGCCAGAGTCCAAATACAACGACTCAGGCAAGACACCTGTTCTCTGATGGGACTTCTATGGGAGATTTTGCTCTACCCACTCAGATTTTCATCTCTGTTGTCATCACCTTCCCCCTGGGAGTAACAAGCCTGGACCAATACAGGGCAGGCCTCATCTTGGATCAGGGTACCACCACCCTTGAAACAGTTGTTTTCCCACATCTTCCCCTGATAGAAAGTAAGTTCCTTGAGAGCAGGGACTACATCATTTTTGCCTTTGTATCCCCAGCACCTACCCCAGTGCCTGACACATAATAGGGCTTTAAAAATGCTTGCTGGCAAATTGATTGGCTGTTCCAGTGTGGAGTGGAGAGGCCATATCCTGTACTCCTGTTTTCCTCCTTTCTCAGAGTAATCACATTTATTGGTGACTTATGTGTAAAGTCACATCCTGCTACAGTTTTTTTCCCACAAAGGGCTTCACCTTCTTCAAGTGTTCTCTTCATTCATGTCCTTCTGACACCTCGGAGCAGCTGTGGTGTCCTTGTGGGAAGAGATTGTGTGTGTGTATTTGTGTGTGTCTGTGTGTGTTTGTCTCTTCAACAACCCAGCATGGTCTGCTGAATTGAAGAAACCTGGATTCAAATATTGAATTTGCTATTTAGACAAGTCATTT